CCAAATGAAGCCGCTAAAGCATCATACAAGCAGACTGGGGTCTCGCGTTAGGTGAGACCTAACCTTAAACCTTTTCGAGGCTGGTTTGGATCACACACATGAACCCATGCACACACTGCACACCTGTGACCCCAGGTGTGACCCCAAAGCTGAGTGAGCTTGGCCAAGAAGTAGATAGACCTGGGTTTGAACCTGACTTTGCCAACAATGCTCTGTGATCTTGGCCAAAGTCACTGCACCTCTCTGAACCTCTGTTTCCTCAACTGTAACATGGTGATGACCGCCGCTACTCTACATGCTTTCCAGATCATTGAGAAACTCAAAGTTCATGGGCAATGTGAGAGCAAAGCATAGAATATAGAGCAAATTGCAAACAGAGAGTCCCAGCTCCTTACATGTAACGACTGTGTGACATTTAACAAGTTACTTAACTTCTCTGTGCCTCCAATTCCTTATTTATAAAATGAAGATAATAGTAAATCAATCTCTTTGTATTTAGTGATTATTAAGTGAATTAAATGAGGTGCTATAATATTGCTTCTTGTTACTGCTATTAACATGCTCTGTTTAATCGGCTACGCTCCAATATAAAATAAAAAGTGTAAAAATATATTTATACTACTGATTAAAATTTGTTCTTACACTTTAACTAGTATCTGGCAAACAAGCAAAAGAACAATGTTTTGTTGAAAAGGAAAGTGAAAAACAGATTGTCCTTTTCTCTCTGAGAGGGACCCAGCTTAAGTCCACAGAGACATGGAACATTTATGAAGCTTCCTGGGAAGCCCCTGCAATAAATTCTGAAGGACAACAGGGCCATGAAAAATGGTGTCAATGATGTCATTTTAAAAACATGTCATTCCCACAACAATTGGAACAAACGTGATTGTAACTCTCAGATAAATGCATGGCGTTGCACACGTCTGTCTCCACAGGGTCACAACGTGAAGAAACAAGCAGTGAACTCTTGTTCCTTCCTTTAGAAGCTAGCATCTGCTGGGCTCCTCCTGGGTGTGACATCCTTGCTAAGGCGGGGGGAACAGTGACGGGGGTGTGCTGGATCTTTGTGGAGCTCAGCACGTGGCAAGGAGAGTGAGGACAAGAAACAAGCATTTGTCAAAAGAGCAACCAAACGGGGGGGGGGGGGGGCTGCAGGGACCCAAAGGAGGGTGGTGGGTGCAGGGGAAGAGGGTGGGGACAACTCAGAGCCAGAGGAGGCATCTGGCTCGGATAAAGAAGGGTCAGCCCACATGACAGAGCACAGAGCCCAGAGGCCACGCTGGGGCGAGGAGCTGGCTCCCAAGAGCTGAGAAGTGGGAGACAAGGGGGAGCTGAAGCCCAGAAAACCGTGCTGATGACCTGGGGTCTGGTGCTGTGGCTGTCACAGAGGCTCTAAACTGGGGCAGGATGTCTCACTGATCAGTGCTCACTCCAGTGTGAAGGTTGGACCAAGAAGGGGAGAGATGAGCAGGAGTCAGAAGTTTTGGCAAGAGACCACTGGACTGGCTGCCCCCACCTCCCAAGTCTCATCCTCTGATGAGAGCACAGGAGGGCAGTGGGGGGCAGGTGCTTCTCCCCCACATCACCGTCACCTGTGCTGGGCTGGGAAATCCGAGGAAGAGGCAGAAAGTGGAGATGAGGACAACCTCCCTGGTTGGTGTGGGAGGAGGCTGAGGACCTAGACAGGGTGTGCAGCCTCATCCTGCCCCTGCTCCCCAGCCCACCCTGGGCTGGACTGTCTGTTTTGAAGACAAGGATGAAGAGGTCTGGTGTGAATTCGCTGGGATGAGATACTAGATGAAGTGGCACCCCTTACAGGACCAGCCTGGATAGTCTTAGGAAAATCACTTTCTCGCCCTGGAGAGCATGCTACACGTAATGAACACTACTCGATTCAATTCACACCGAATAAATTAATTGACAAAGGGGCATATGGAGAGATGCATAAATTCCTCATTGAGATGCATCATCGAAAATAAGGAACTGATGTGGAAAAAGATTGTGTGAGCATCTTCAGTAACCCCGTGGTGGTCAGAAAACCTCAGATGCATCCATGGGTGATTAGAAAACCTTCCACGCATCTCTGGTCCCTGTTCCTCTGGCTACTGCTGCCACTTCTGCTTTCATTTAAAAAGCTACCAATGGCCTGCTGCAGAAATCCCTGTTTTTCTATTCAAGCAGCTTTCTGGAAGTTTGGAAAACGGAAAATATTCCCCTGGGTGTAAAGAACACACACGTTTCAAGAATGAGTAACCTGGCAGAGAGAAATTAAAAAGTTGGCTGTGGGTAACACAGCTGTCGGGGACCAGTGTTTATCAAGGTTTAAAACTATATGCTACGTAAAAGTTCTTCCACTGGGGTATCAGGAGAGACTGTTAACTCCCTCTCAGATTCAGGCTTTTTAGCTCCTCAAACATCAGCTTCAACACCTGCTCAGCTTAATATCTGATACTTTTCCCCCTTCTCTCTCTCCTCCCTCTTTTTGAACAAGCAAAGCTCACTGCGAACTTGCCATTTCTCCTCTGAAATAGCTAAGATTTCAAGTGACAACAAAATCTGAAATACAAATCAGTTACTCCCCAAACTGGCAACAACAGCAAAGCTGCTGAGAGTTACCAAGCCTGCCCCCCCCCACCCCATCACCACTTATGAGACCCCATTGCATCGCATCAGGGGCCAGTCCGCGGGCAGGCTGGGCAAGAGAGCCAGCCACACCAGAGCCCCAAACCCCGGACGACAGAGTGACACTTAGAAGCGGAGCATTTTTCAGATTTCCTAGGAGATGATTATCGCTCTTGGCAGGGGGACATCTAGATCCCCTTTCCCTCCCAAGGACACAGTTCTGCTCAGACAGAGCTGGAATAAACGTTCAGCTGGGGAGGGAAGGGATGAGTGTACGGTTTTGCCTCCTACAAAATGGGAAGCATTTGTACACAGGCACATAGCGAGGTGTGCCCCCTGGTGGTCATAAAAGGCAACTGACTATGGAGTTGGAGGCCTCCGGTGGGAAAAGGCTCCTTACTGGTTTTACTGTTCAGAGGCCAAGCTAAGCCACCTTGGGCCTCAGTTTCCAGATTTATAAAATAGACTAATATTGTTCACAGATGCTGTCAAGATCATATGGGAGAATGGAGGGGCAAAACTGTGGCGTGATGTCCAGCCTGTTTATCCCCAGCTCTCCATTTCTTAACTGTTCACTCTTTCACTAATTGATTCATTCACTTCTGTGTCCTAAGATCAGTTAAGGTCAGGGTCAGAGTCAGAGTTAGAACGTATCTAACCCTGTTAGGGACCAGGCACCACACAAGCACTGGGCAAGGAGCCATGAACAAGAGAAAAAGTTCCTTTGCATAAGACTCTCACGGCCTGAAGAGGAGCAAGAAAAAATTCAGACTGGGTTCCATGCTGGGAATAGACTGCAGCCGTGGCGCCTTAAGGAGGGCTGGGCCGGGAGGAGATGGGCAAGGCCAGCGCTCTGCGGTTGGGGTCACACCCAGGTGATTTTTCAGTTGAGCCCTGAAGGCAGAGCAGGCAAAAAGTGTCAAAGAGAGTGGAGGCGACAGCACGGGAGACACCTGCCAGCCCAGGTGGGGCGGTTCAGATCCCCAGGAGCAGAGGGGAGAGCACTGGGAGCCAGGGGGAGATGGAGGGGAGGCAGGCCACGCAGGACCAGCCCAGGTTACCCGCTGCAGCCTCTTTCTTCAGACGCGAGGGGCAGGATGGAGCGCTGGGCAACCAGTGTGAGTCATGCCAGTTGTCGGGGCAAGAGCTGTGTCGGCCCTCAGGATGCAGCCCTGGTCCTCCCGATCCTTCTGCTCCCCTCCTCCACATCAGAAAAGACCACAAGGGGTCCAGGGTGTCGTAAGAGCCCCAGGGGGTTTGCTCCCCTTAGTTCCTGCCCCAAGCAAGCATTTTTCTGGTGTCACCTTCCAGAGGCGTCTTATCAGGATAGATGTGTGTCCTGACTTCTTTCTGGTGCCCAAGTGGTACTGCACTGTCGACATCACCGGTTACATTCACCCACAGCCAGGGGGCCAAGGTGTGAGAGCAGTTCTGGCAGCAATGTTGCTAACAGCAAAAACATTTGGAACAATATGAGTGTCTATCACTAGGGAGTGGGTTGAGTGGGTTACAGATGGGTTTCTCGACCCTGGGAATATTGATGCTCAGGCCCGGGTGATTCTCTGCTGTGGGGCGTCCTGTCGGTTGTAGGACGTTTAGCAGCATCCCTGTCCTCGGCCCACTAGATGCCAGTGGCCCCCCTTCCCTGGTTGTGACAACCAAAATGTCTGCAGAATTGTCAAATGTCCCTAGGAGAGAAGCCCTGGTCCCCCCAGGGTTGAGACCCCCTAGATTCCCATGCACGCACACCCTGTCACGCTACACAGCCCCCCAAAGAAGGGAGAAAACCTTGACTGATTGGGAAGACCCTGAGAAGGGCCCAGAAGAAGCCTCCTCTCTTGAAGTTAGGGAACAACCATGGGAAGAACCCCCAAGCAGGCCAGATGGGGCCTGGTGGGCAGAGAAGACCACTCCCTGCGAATGGCTAGCAGAGCAGACAGAGGCCTCCTGGAGAGAAGGTCGCCCTGCTGGTTGGCACTGCAGCTGCAGGAAGCATCCAGAAAGTTGGTGAAGCGAAGAGAAGCCTCCAGAACATGCCTCCCCTTGAAAGGCTGCATCCCTTTCAAGTGTGTGGGGGAGACCCTGCCCTGGGAACTCAGAGGCCGAGGGGCTGAGGGGCCGCTATCTTGTCCATCTCCTCGGGATCCGGACGTGGGTCAAACCTCTCTGAGGACCAGCCCTCTTGGAGTCCAGCGAGCAACACTGGACAGATGTCAAGCCATTTAGAACATTTAGAACTCCTCCCCCCAACCCTCCATCTCCAGAGTCATCTAAAGTCCCCCAGGATCTTAGCGTGCCCAGCGAATTCTAGTTAGTGGCAGATTAACAAGTTTTCCCTAACAACATTCAATATTTGCAAGTGGTCCTCATCAGCTTTATTGACAGAAACTCAGAGTGGCTCCGAGAAATGGACTAGATGAACTGGCAGAACTGTCGACGTTGGGGGAAAAATAGTTTGCTTTTGTGGACATTGAGTTGACGTCTGCGTTTCCATAAACCCAGGAGTGGGAGGAAGCGTGCTCACGGCCGCCTTGTCCATTTTCCATGCCGTGCTCTCTCTTTTCTTAACGCATAAATGCGCAAAGAAAACACATCTTTTGCCTCCTGTCCTCCCCCGCCTGATGGACGGCCGGAGCATTGCTGATTGCTGGCTCAGCGGGCTCCGGGGGCCCAGGCCTTGGCCTCTCGTCCTCAGCTGCAGTGTCAACCAGATTGCCTGAGCTGGGCTTCTTCCCTTCTGTTCTTCCCCTCCCGAGAAATGGGGAAATCGGTCCCTCTTAGGTTAAAAAAAAAAAAAAAAATGTGGCTTAAAAACCGAGAACATCTGGCTAGAGATGATTGTTTCATGGAAACTTCTCCTGGAGTTCTGTGCATGCCAGACCCCCTCCAAGGCTGCTTGGACGTGAAGTTTCTGCAGCCCAGCCAGGAGAGGGAGGACGAACCAGGACTCGAACTTCCAGATCCAGCCAGCACCACATCCCCAAATGGGGAGGCCAGACACCTACTCCCCTGCACAGAGACAGGCAGTCAGCGCGCAGAAACGCCATCTGAAGCTTGAGGCCCCACGGCCCCCAAACACTCCAAGGGAGTGCAAAGGCCCACCGACCATTCTGGAGCCACACCCTGGTCTGAAGGCCACTCTTTCTACCTGGATACCCCAGGTCTTGGGCAAGAGATAGATGTTTTGAGGTTCTGCAATGCAGGGACCACCCTGTCCACCCCCACTGGGGTGACTGTAGGGAGTCCTGGAAATGTCTGGAAAGCATTTAGCACAGGGTCAGGTGTTGCGACCTTGTGACATATTGTAGAAGTTTGTGTAACTCATGGTGTGTGGGGGAGGCACATTGAGTTGCATTCCCAACCTTTGGGAACTCTCCCCCACCTCTCCCCGGCCTGTGAGGGTCTGGAGGGGGCCTTTCCTGGCCAGCAGGAAAAAGGCCGAGGCTGTTAGAACTCCCTGTTCTAGCTGCCTGCGGACGGAAATTTCTCATTCTTGGACCGCAGAGAGTTCTTCCAACCGCCACCTTGGGCAGCTTATTTGTGAGGCAATAGCACCCTCCTCTGGTCAGAGAGTGGTATTTCCTCTAGAACTTTCTCTGAGTTTCAGTTGTTCAGTTGCTCAGTTGTGGCCGACTTGCTATGATCCCATAGACTGCAGCACGACAGGCTTCCCTGTCCTTCACTATCACCCAGAATTTGCTCAAACTCATGTCCTTTGAGTTGGTGATGCCATCTAACCACCATCTCATCCTCTGTTGTCCCCCTCTCCTCCCGCCTTCAATCTGTCCCAGCAACAGGGTCTTTTCCAGTGAGTCAGCTCTGCATCAGGTGGCCAAAGTATCAGAGCTTCAGCTTCAGCTTCAGCTTCAACACAGCTTCAGTCCTTCCAGTGAATATTCAGGGTTGATTTCCTTCAGGATGGACTGGTTTGATCTCCTCGCAGTCCAGGGGACTCTCAAGAGTCTTCTCCAGCAGCACAGTTCAAAAGCATCAACTCTTCAGTGCTCAGACTTCTTTACTGTCCAAGTCTCACATCCATACAAGACTAATGGAAAAACCATAGTTCTGACTATAGGGACCTTTGTTGGCAAAGTACCTGCACCCCAAGAGTAAGAAGACGGTTGCTGAGTTCCTGGTGGGGGGAGGGAGGGTCCTGCCAAGGGCAGGATTCCTCCAGGAAAATAAAGGCAGCCTGGGTTCCTGCCTCCATAGTTGTGGTCATGGTCCCCTGCCTCTTGATCTTGCTCCTGAACTCTAATGATGGGGAAGGACGGGGGGCAGAAGAAGGGTCAGCATCTGAAGGGTCCACGGTTCACCCTCCTGGTCCTCCCCCACCTCCCTCCCCTACTCCCCCACCCCCAGCACTGACTGAGCACAAGCTCATTGTGGACTTCTTCCCCCCTGGGGCTGCCTGGACCCCCGCTGGCACTGATGCCTCCCCAACAAGCACAGCAACCTTGGAAACATGTGTGCTGTTCGGTTTGAAAAACTCCAGACAGCCAGGCTTACCTGGGGGTCTGTTTATCTGTCAGAGACTCCATGGGCGATGTCTGAAGAAAAGGGAAACACAAGGTCCATTCATTTGGTGGCCCTCCCACCCCGTCCCCCTGCCCCAGATTAGCAAGGTTTTTCAGTGACCTCCTGGATGGTCCGAGAAGGGGACCAGAGGTGGAAGACGTGGCCTCCACTGGAGTCCAGCTCTGTGACCTTGGGCAGGGGACCAGTGCCCCTGGGGCCCTTCTCCCAACTCTTCGGGGCTCAGAGGCCCCTCCCCTCCTCACCTCTGGGGTCAGCCTGGCAGATCTCTCCCAGCAGCTTCGCTCAGACCCAGAGCTCTTAAGCTCCCTGTGGGTGGAGTCTAGAGAAAGTGGCAACCTGAATTTTGTGAATGATGGTGATGGCGGTCCAGTCTCTACCACCGGAAACAGGACTCATAAGCATGTGTGACAGCGAAGCTGAGCATCCCTCAGCAGGCTGGGAACACCTTCATCCTCACCACATCCAGGCGCGTCTGGAAACTCACTGAGCTCTCACAACAGTCCGAGGGAGGTATGAACATCGTCTCTATCTCACAGTTTGGAAAACAGAGGTTCACATGGGGTGAGCAATGTGTCACAGTCACAGGGCAACTGGGATTTGAACTCACTGTGCTCTGTGTCCCAGCTCAAAGCTTTGGGTTTTGTGATGGTAATCATTCTGTTTATCAAGGCACCCAGAACGTTTCTGGTTGCTATTATTTTTGTTAATATTTATTTATTTGACTGAGCCGGGTCTTAGTTATGGCACACAGCATCTTTAGTTGAGGCGTGTGAACTCGTTTGTTGAGGTGTGTGGGAGCCAGTTCCCTGAGGAGGGATCCAACCTGGACGCCCTGCATTGGAATTCCGGAGTCTCAGCCACTGCACCACCAGGGACTTCCTCTTAGAATGTTTTTAATGACTAGGCAGGATGCTTTGCACGCATCGTCTTTCCTAGTCATAGCTACAAAGGGGAGGTGGTTTCCATGACCATTTTATAGACAGAAACTGAGACACAGAGCAATGTGTGCCTCAGCTTGGCGTGGCAGAAGTGGTTTGCAAGCCAAGATTTGCCTGCCTTTCCTCCATCCCACCCGCCCCAACACCGGCAGCACGAGATCCCCGTGCTAGCTTGTGCTGCCTCCTATCCGGAAGGGGAGCACTAGCCTGTCCTCCACCCCCAGGCATATCTGAGCCCGGCTTTGCAAGATGCCAAAACGCATCAGTGGGGGGCTCCCCACGAGCCCCACATGAGTCTTCCCGGCTTCCTGCCAACTAACCAAGCCTCGTGAGTGTTTAAAATAGTCCGTGCAGTTCCCGCAGGCATGCACGTCTATATCGCAGTCACAGAGCCTGCTTCGTCTCCCAGCACCGTGAGGTCAGGCCAGATGCTCACTGAAAGAAACCGCAAGGTGCCAGGGGCGTCGGCGCATGTGCAGTGGCCGCAGCAACCCACCCCCCACCCCACCCCCGGGAGGGCGGATCTGTGCTCTACCGAGCCCATGACATATTCACGATCCGCGCCCGCCCCATCCACCTCTGAGTCTCCAGGCCTGGGGATCACCTGCAGGGAAGCTCATGTGGGTCCCCCCACCTCACAAGCTGAGCCAGGCACTGCACCAAGCCCTTCTTGGCCATCTTCCTGCCCTTCCACAGCTTTCGGGGACGCAGAGACCCGCGTGACAGCCCAACCCCCTCCCCCGCCGCACCGCTCCCATGGGCTCGGGAGGCAGGGCTATCCCAGCCAGACAACATCTAGAATGTTCCTCGAGTACCTACTATGTGCAAGGACTGCACAAGAAGGTTGTGCTACAACTGTGTCCAAGACAGATGTGTCCCTGCCCACATGCCAGGGGGACTCAAGACGATACCAAAACAAGCAAATAAGAAAACAGGAGGGCTTGTCCACCCACTCCAGAATTCTTACCTGGAGAATCCCCACGGACAGAGGTCCCTGGCGGGCTAACATAGAGTGTTAATGGTTTGAAATGAAATGACAAGTTGATGTGATATTAAAAATCTTCAGGAAAGAGGAAGACTAGATGGGGTGGAGGTTGGGGGCGATGTGTATCAGTGGAAGACCTGAGACTCAAGGAGAGTGAGCCGCTAGGCAGGGATCTGGGGGGGGGGGGGCGCCTCTAGTGAGGAGACCAGGGTAAGTGCAAAGGCCCTGGGGCAGGGACAAACCCTGCAGGTTCCCCACCCTGGTCTTCCAGGTCTCATGGGAAGGGAGACTGTGGAGACCCAGAGAGAGTTGAGGCCCCACAAAGCAAGGCAAAAGCCAGTATCAGGGCTGTGGCCTCTGCCCCACCACTTGACCCTGGCCTGCGCCAACGGGCCGTCACGCAGGGTCCCGGCTTGTTGGCGTCTGCATCTGGGAGACTCAGGCACAGGAGGGGGCCTTGGAGCCCACCCCACCCCCCGGTCCCCTGAGCCCAAGGACCAGCTGGAATGAGCACAGCACGCAGGCGTTTGTGACATCACCAGATGAGACGATGACTAATGGCCTTGCCAGGTCCAGAGGACACAAGGCAGGCTCAGGGTGGCAGATGTTTGAGATGATGAGGGAATGGAGGCAGGTGGAGGCCCCAGAGCCAGCGGCTCTGCACCCGCAGCCGGCTGGACCAGCGCCTGGCGGATGGAGCCATCCTGCGCATGTGCGGGTGGAAAGGCGCGGGAAGACGGATGGATTTGTGCTCAGGCAATCTGCAGAGAGGCCCCCCATCTGCTTCCCATTAATGACGCAGCCTTGCTCTGTTGTTGTTGTTGTAAACTCTACCAAAAATTCATTTTTTTTTCCTTAAATGAAGTTAATAGTTTTTAAAGTCGCCGTATATCGACTTGGGTTAGCTCCCTTTGCAGAAGTTTAGGTAATCCCACCTTTGAAGACCAAGCCCCCAAAGTGCCTTTGTCAACCCAAGAGATGAGTATATCTGAAAAAGGAGTCCCTAAAGGAGAATGGTCCCTTCTATTTCCCAAAGAAGGGGCCCTGGGCTCAGTGGGTGGTGATCTGAGCTGTCCACTGGGCCATCCGCTCTTTGAATTGGTTGTACATTCGAATGATAGGGGAGTTGGAACAATGCAGATGGCCCGGCCACCCGGGGTTCTCTTGGTACCATGAAGCCTAGGAATATGGTTGCAAAAATCTCCCTAGGTGATTCTAATGAGCCTTTAAGTTGGCAAACCATGGCCTTGCCTCCAAGGGTGGCTGTAAGGATAAAGCACTTACAAACTGTTATTGTCCTCATCATCATAATGGCAATTATTACTTTTATTTGAGCAGAGAAAATTGAGGCTCAGAGAAATCAACTGGTCCAGCCAATCTGGGCAGAGCACCTGGGTTTCTGTGATTCCAAAGCCTCATGCCACGATGGAAGCTATTTTAACTTGGTCAAAGTAAGAAAATGTGTATTATTTCTGTCCTAGCCCATAATCAGCAATCACTTTACAATTTTTTTGTGTGTTTCAAGCAATTGACAGTTTGTATGGTTAAAAGAATCAGAGGGAAATTAAAAGTTTCTTCCTGAATTGTGCCCCAATTCCAGATTCTGGAGCAATTCAGTGGAACCTGGAATCTGTGAAGCACTGTTGTAGCAGAAAGTTCTCGACTCGGGGGCCTCGGGGGAGAGGGCAACAGGGACCTTGCCCTGCGCACAGGTGCAGGATCAAGGGCCTGGAGCCAGGGAAAGAGGTAGGAGCCTGCCAGAGCTTTAATATCTCCCAGGTTTCAGGTAAGCACCCCCGGGCCAAGGAGGGAAGAACTCTGGACTTGTGGCATGGTGATCAGCAGCCTGGACCCCCACAGGCAGAGGAGAGGAGTCTCATGTCAGGGCTCCTGGAATTAAGAGGCAGAAGTCCAGGATTCAGAAGTCGGTCCTGGAGGCTTGTAACTAGCTTTCCTTTATCCATCTTTTTACCTCTTGCTCTTGACTGTTGTTACGTTGTATCTGTGGTTGGGCATGCATCTGAGTCATTGGGAGGGCTTCTTAAAAATAGACTGTTGCTCCCCTCCAACCTGAGGTCCTGCTTTACAACACATCTGGGTGAAGGAGAAGTTACGCCTAACCATCCCCAGGCAATGCTTGTCCAGAGACCGCGTTTGAAGGCCACCATTTTGACTGACGTTCACAACAGCCTTATGAGGGAGGGAGGAAGAAACAGAAGTTCAGAGGGCAGAGGCAACGTGCCTGAGGCCCTACAGCTAGAAACTGACAGAGGCAGGACTGTGACACAGGCCTGCTGATCCCAAACCCAGTGGCCAAAGCCAGGTACCCTGCTTCTCACTCCAAGGCTGGTTCTCAGACAGGGTCCCTGAGTCAGGGCAGCCTCTGAGAGGGCAGGCCTCAGATCAGACTGCATGGTGCACCCCCTGGCCAGCTTTGTCAGGGCTGTCTCCATGGTTTTGGATGCATGCAGCAGTCAGCAGTAGTTTGCAGGGAGCAACAGCTAGAAGCAAGACCACAGTTGCTTGACCTGGTCACCTGCGTGGAAACCATGAACCTTAACCGTGAGACCTCAGAGGCCAGTGCTGCAATCTAAGTCCTTAGACCTTGTCTACCTTGAAAGGAGGAATCTGACAAGGAGACAGAAGGTATAGAGGGAAAGGAAATATTTATTAGAAAAGCAGAGTATATGGAGAAAGATGCTTGGGTGAACTCTGCGAGAGAGTCGCCTTTGGGAAGTTTAAGTCCTTTATAAGGGGGCAGTCTTCGGTTTTTGGTCTTCTTCATGGCCAAGCATCCTGTTTTGACCCCCTGGCTACCGTGTCTCAGGACCATTCACTGGGTGCACACACACACCTCGGTCAAGATGGACTTCAGCGCAGAGGCAGATGGGAGGAGCAGAAAAGACTTACTCGCATCCTCTGCCTTTTTGACCCCGTGCAGTCTCTTCTTGCACGTGTGCAGTGTCTGCCTTGCCCCAAGGATGGGAAACGTATGACCTCTTGATCTTCTAACAGGGTTTAGCCCCTCTCTGTTCCTGCCAGAAAATGTCCAGTGTCCGGTTGTCCGCCCTATTCCTGTTGTTGTTTCTTATACCGACGCAGATCTTGACATGTAGTCAGGAGTCTGGTCATAAATATGTAGCCTGGAGCCCATTTGTCTTTTGCCTCAGGAAATGTAGATAGGGAGCTGGTAGTCAATGTCCGGCCTGGAGCCCATCCTTTTGTTACCCCAGGAAGTGTGAACAGGAGGCCAGTTGTACATGTCCGGCCTGGAGCCCATCTATCTCCTGCCTCACTCAGACCAATTCAATCCAAACCCCTGGGGTGGTACCAAGTGTCCGGTGATTCTACAGAGCAGGCACGCTGGAGACCCTGAACTCCCGGGGAACCCAGGCTGCCTTGGAAGCCGAGCTGGACTTCAGGAGGGGCCAGGGGCTTCCCTGGTGGCCCAGACGGTAAAGAACCTGCCTTCAATGCGGGAGAGCTGGGTTTGATCCGTAGATCGGGAAGATCCTGGAGAAGGAAATGGCAACCCACTCCAATACTCTTGCCTGGAGAACTCCATGGACAGAGGAGCCTGGCAGGCCACATTCCTTGGGGTCGCAAAAAGTCAGACACAACTGAGCAACTAACACACACATGCAGACAGCTGACCATCACCCAGCACAGGGCAGGTCTTGTGTGGTCAGCTGTGCCCTCAGACGAGGGCTTGGGGGCAGTCAGGCCCCTGTGGTGAGCAGGGTGACAGAGGAAAGGGTGACAGTGGACAGAGGTCCAGCTGGGGTTGGCAGATTAAAATACAGAATGGTAGATCTGAATTTCAAAGAAACTGCATTTTAAAGAGTACAAGTTTGCCCCAAATATTACCTGGAGCGATCTTCTACTAAAAAGAAAAATAAATATATTTGTTGTTTAAATTCAAATTGATCTGGGTGTTCAATATTTTTGTTTGCTAAATGGGGGCAACTCTAGGCAGGACCCCACTCAGAGGATGGGCCCCAGCCCTCGGGGGGTAACTGCAGAAGCAGGAATTCAGCCCCCTAGACAGCTCCTGACAGTGGGTACTTCCTACCTGCCTCTGATGCCGAGAGATGACACAAGGAAAATTTACCATTTTATCGTAAAGGAGTCCTTCTATGCCATTAGACCTATGTGCCCTCAGAACTCTAGGTCTTTAGAAATTAGTTAATTTTTTGCTGTGCTGGTCTTCATTGCTGTGCATGGGCTTTGTCTAGTTGTAGCAAGCAGGGGCTGCTCTCCAATTGGGGCACGTGGGCTTCTCTTGGCGATTGTTTCTCTTGTGGAGCACGGGCTCTAGGCACATGGGTTCAGTCACTGCAGCTGGAGGGCTCACACTAAGCTTGAGCTTAGCAGCTCCCCAGCAGGTGGGATCCCCCTGGATCAGGATCAAACTCATGTCCCCTGCACTGGTAAGTGGGCTCTCAACCACTGGACCACCAGGGACGTCCTGAGAACTGTAGATTTTTAAATGCACAGTTCTTTTGCATCCACACTATTGGGCAACCACGCATAGAACTTTTTCATCTTCACAAAGTGAAACTCTGCCACCATTAAACAACAAAAGTGAAAAAGTGAAAGTGTTAGTCGCTCAGTTGTGTCTGACTCTTTGCGAATCCATGGACTGTAGCCTGCCAGGTTCCTCTGTCCGTGGAATTCTTGAAGCAAGATACTAGAGAGGGTTGCCATGCCCTTCTCCAGGGGAATCTTTCCAACCCAGGGAACAAACCCAGGTCTCCTGCATTGCAGGCAGGCTCTTTACTCTCTGAGTCACAAGGCAAGCACCTGTTAAACAATAACCACCACCTGTCCCCCCATTTCCCCCTCTCTCCAGCCCCCGGTAACCACCATTCTACTTTCTGTCTCTATGAACTTGACTTCTCTAGGAATTTCATATAAGCAGAATCATATAGTATTTGTCCTTTTGTGACTGGCTTATTTAACTTGGTATGATGTTCTCAAGACTCATGCATATTGGGGCGTATGTCAAAGTTTCCTTCCTTTTAAAGGTAGGATAATACTCCACTGCCCAGATATACACCTTTGTTTATCCATTTATGACAGGGAGTTTGGTTCCCCCTGTTGGCTGTTGTGGATAAAACTGCTATGAACGTGGATGTACAAATATCTCTTTGGGTACACACACAAAAGTAAAATTTCTAGATCATATGATAACCCTGTTTATTGTAAGGTCTCACCACATTAATTTCCACAGAGACTCCCCCATTTTGTATTCCCATCAACACACAAAGATTCCAGCTTCTCCACATGCTCACCAACACTTATTTTCTGTTTGCTGTTGTTTTTGATGAGTCACCCCAGTGGGTGTGAAGTGGTATCTCATTGCTGTGGATTTAATTTAATTTTAATTTGTGTAGTTGGAAGACTAGAATAATATTCTTCATTATGATATTCAATTTTATTAAGATTTCATTTCACTAAAAATTCAGAAAAGCAATTTTTATATTAAACAATTGTATCATCTAATAATTACAAACCTTAAATGTATTTTATGAGAAAACAAGGAACTTCACAAAGAAACGGTGAAAGTAGTTGCCAGGGGCTGGGAGGTGGGAGAAATAGGGAGGAGTGGGTAAAAGGTACAAACTTTTAGCTGTAAGATGAATCAGGTCTGAGGATCTAATGCCTAATAAAGTGATTGCAGTTGATAGCATTATTATAACTGAAATATCCTGAGTGTAGAACTTTAATATTCTCTCTCACACACACAAAGATAAATATACACTGTGATGTATGCTAATTAACTAGATGGGAGAAATCCTTTCACAGTATAGACATACATGAAAGCACCACCATATACCCTTTAAACATCTTGTAATTTTATTTGTCACACTTTAGCAAAGAAGAAAAAGAAATGGTGCTAATGTCAAACCCCCTTAGGCTGCTTCCTCTAATTTCGTGTAAGAGCTGCTTGGGAAAGCTCATCAGAAATTTTCAGGAATTTTATAAGCTGCTTATTAACATTATTAAAAATAAAAAATTTCATGGGACTTCCCTGGCTGTCCAGTGGTTAGGACTCGGCGCAGGGGGCATGGCTTCGATCCCTGGTTGGGGAAAATATCCCACATGTTGCGTGGCATTGCCCCAAAATAATTAAAAATAAATAAATAAAATCATTTTAAATTAAAATTTTCACACATAATGATTAACTAAATTATATAAAAAACAAAGGAAATAATTGCTTTAAAACCATCACTTACTATTTGACTACACTTTATTATGCTCTGTGTTTGCAGGCTATTTATGTCGGTTGCATCAGTATAGTAGAAATACTTCAAAGGTGCACATCTCTGCCCAACTCCATTTCAGCAATGTCACTTTATAGCTCAAAATCATCGATGGTGGGAGTATTTACACTCTGGAAATCAGCCCTTGTTATATTGTTCTGTTGATTGTCTAGACTTAAGCAAGTGGTTGGGAAAATGTTAATAATGCAAATTAACCTCCAATCTGTGTCTTGTCTGTGGCTGTTGCATTGTGAACAGCACAAAACATGGAGGAAATATTCTATCCCTATTTGAAAGCTATTATTTCCTCCAGCAAGGAAGTTACTCCCATCATTGTTGAGTGAATGAAGTTTTGACAGCTGTCTTTGCTAGTTCACTTTTGTATTACTCATTAACATAAGTGAAAATATCAACCAAAATTATGGTCAGAACTAGAGTTGTTTGTCAATGATGTGAGCCAAATTCCTTGCTAAGTCAAATTTCAATCAAGCGATCCTTTGCTACCTGCTCACCTGCCTCTGCGGTTGGCAATCAAATTTGAAAACTGACAATGGATTTTGCAAGAAATCTGACTTATACTGAAGCTAGAGTTGCATTGAATTTACAGTAGAGGCTTGTAATATCATGTGGGTTGTTTGCTACAAACTATTCAGTAAAGTTTATAACAAACATAAACATATACACGTACACATGTGCACACATTTTTTTTCCTGGTAAGCCAGTACTTAAGCATTTGCCAGTGAGTTTTGGGTCCTGTCCCACTCCAGAGCTCACAGATAGACATCACTTTCTGTTTGTTCTAGGAAGGCATGAGAGGAGTTTGGAGAAGCACAGCTCCGAGACCCAGGGATGCTCCTGAAGGAGACAGCTGCATTTCTAAGTCAACTAACAGAAGGTTCTTGGGCTCTAAGGTGACCAGCTCGTCCTACTGCCTTTGGTTTTTCTGATTTTAGCCTGGAATGTTGTATGTCCTTTTGTGCTTATTTCCTGACCACGGAGGGTGCTAAGTCGCTCAGTCGTGTCCGACTCTTTGTGACCTCATGGGCCATAGCCCACCAGGTTCCTCTGTCCATGGGATTCTCCAGGCAAGAATACTGGAGTGGGCTGCCGTGCTCTCCTCCAGGGGAATCTTCCCAACTCAGGGATCGAACCCAGGTCTCTTAAGTCTCCTGCATTGGCAGGTGGGTACTTTACCACTAGTGCCAACTGGGATTGCAAAGTTAGTGACTTCAAACAATGCAGATGTGCTCCTTTGGTCTGCTGGAGGTCGATAGTTCTCAAATAAGTCTCACAAATAAGTTAAAATCATAATTACAGCAGAGCCTCATTCCTTCTGGAATGTTCTGGGGAGAATTCCTTCTTTGCTGTTTTGAGCTTCTGAAACTACCTTCATCCTATAGCTTCTGGTCCTTCTCCCATCTTCAAAGCATCTCTCTCTCTCTGACTCAGTCCCTCCTGCTCCCCTCTTGTAGAAGCTTCCATGATTCCTTCGGGCCATCTGAATAACACAGGATAACCTTCCCATTTCAAGATCATGAACTTATTAACATCTGCAAAGTCCCTTTTGCTGTCTAAAGTAACACATTCACAAATTCCAAGAATTAGGATGTGGACCTCTGGGGGAGCTCTTATTCAGCTGGCTCCCTCCAGGAAACCCTGCAATTCTGGATAAACTAGTGTGGTTGGCCATCTACTAGGCACTCCACCTTTCCCCAGCATCTCTGTTCCATTAAAGCCATTTTCCTGGGGACCTGGATACAGGATACAGCCTGCCTCCCTGCTCTGCAGACTACCAGGAGCCCTGGATCCCAGTCAACAAGCAGGAGCAAACGATTTATCACCCAAATCTGGTGACCCCTGTGTCTTTCTACCTTGGATGTGACCAGAATGATTCATCTCCACCTGACAGCGTGACCTTGTGAAAATTAATTAACCTTTAGGGGCCATGATGGCCTCTATCAAGTGAGAGTAATAAACCTTCACCTTTTCATTGGTGTAGGATGAAGTGGGGGAGGGCGTGGTGTCCCTGACGGGGCATGGAAGCCTCTAGAACATGGGGCTTGTGTTTTAATCAAACATTGTTGTGGGCTAGTTCACACACTCCTGTCCTTTCAAAAAGGGCTTCTTGGCTCCTAAAGAAGAGCAGTAGGACCAAGACTGTGGTTTGGAGCAGAAGGCTGCCCAGGTAACAAGCTCAGGTCGAGGGGTGGGGCTGGCACCCAGGTCCCGTTGGTCCCCACTTGTGCCCCGGGTCTAGGCCACATGCTGGGCCCTGAGCCTGCCCCTCCAAGGTCCCTAACTCTGTGTCCCTGTGCTGGGGGTTATGTAAAGCCAGGGGACAAACCCAGGCACTTTTTCATTGAGAACCTTCATGTAGAAAATCTATTTCTAGTAAAGGCTGCCACCTGGTGGACATCAGGTTACATGACACAAACCTGTGCAAAAAGATGATTCCTGGGTGGTTCCACTCATTCATTCACTCATGAATTCACAGAGACAGAAAGTAGAAGGCTGTTTGTCAGGGGTTGGAGGGAGGGGGAAATGAAGGATTACATCTAGTGTGGACAGAGTTGCAGTTTGGAAAGATGAAAAGTTCTGTGGACAGTGGTGATGGCCTCACAGCAATGTGAAGGCAGGTAGTACTGTTGAGCCTTGCCCTTACAAACGGCCAGAACGGTCAGTTCTTTGGTAATGTTATTTATTTACTTAGTTTGGGCTGTGCTGGGTCTTTGTTGCTGCTTGGGGTTTTGTGTAGTTGCGGGGATCAGGGGAGGGTGGGTCCTAATTCAGCATGACTAGTGCCCTTACAAGAAGAGGAAAAGAGACACAGACACACAAGAGGAGAAGCCACATGGCAACAGGGACGGCGGAGGCTGGGGTGATGAGCCAGGGAATTCTGAGCACTGCCCCCAGTTCCCTTCCCTCTCCTCTCCCCCAACCACCCAAAGCTGGGAGAGACGGTCCAGCGGGGGCTCAGAAGGAGCGAAGCCCATCTGGGGTCCTGATTGCTGATTTCTGGCCTCTGGACTGAGACTCAGTTCTTATTTTTTAAGCCACTCAGCTGTGGTCCCTTGGCCATGCAGGGGACAAAGGCAGAGCTGCACCTCTGGGGCTGGGACAGGGCATCAGGGTTTTAAATCCCTCCCTTCCTGCCCTCTCATGATTCCAACACAAAGTCAAGCTTAAGTGCTGCCCGGGGAGTTGGGGATGGGGAACGGAGCCCCTCCTGGGGTCTCAGTGTGTGAGAGCAAGCTAGCCATCTTGGGAATCTTGCTTATTCTTGTCACTGTTATTTTTATTCTCTTCTTCCTCTGTTGTTCCTCCCGAGATAGGTGCCCCCAGGGTGACCAACCATCCTGGTTTGCCTGGGACCAGAGTTCCCAACCAGTACATGGACTTTCACTGCTATGATCAGGAAGTCCTGGGCAAACAGGGGTGAGTTGGTCACCCCAGGCCCTCCCATGCTCCACCCCCTGAATTCTCTCTCTCTGTAAATGACCCGCTGTCCCAGCCTGCCCAGTACTCGCCAGTGTAAGCCTGTAAGTCCCTTGCAAGGCTGAAGCGTGGGTCACCCTAGTTGCGAAGCCTGTGATGCCCATGACCTCTTACCTGGGGGAAGGGCTGCCCTGCAGATCCAGGTGCCCAGCCCCAGCTGCCCCAATGGTCTCCAGGAAGAGTCTGGAAGCAGTGATGCTCTGCCAGGCCCCAGAGGGTCTAGTGTAATAGCCCTGGGAAGGGGCCTGGGCTGCTCATTCAGATTTTTTATTCTTGCCTCAGTTTTTTTTCCCATTTATTTTTATTAGTTGGAGGCTAATTACTTTACAATATTGTAGTGGTTTTTGTCATACATTGACATGAATCAGCCATGGATTTACATGTGTTCCCCATCCCGATCCCCCCTCCCGCCTCCCTCTCCATCCCATCCCTCTGGGTCTTCCCAGTGCACCAGGCCTGAGCACTTGTTTCATGCATCCAACCTGGGCTGGTGATCTGTTTCACCCTAGATAATATACCAATTTTAATAAGGTATGGCTATTTTTAAAAAATCGTCCATTATCAAAATGTTCAAGCTTCTTGGCATAAATGTTTTCTTGTAACCTTCCCTCATCTTCTTAATGCCGACAACAAAAAGGTTCTATTTTTTCATTCCTGATGCTGGATATTTGTGCTTTCACTTTCTTTCTCTCTCCCTCTTACCTGTGTCACATTGTATGTGTGTGTTTATGTGAACAAATGAATGGATTTTTTCCTCTCTGCTCTCATTTTCACCTCTTGTACTTCTCAGTTATATGTTTGCAGGTAGATTATATACACTCTTTGGGCACGTGGATCAGTGCCGTAAAACATGGGCAGTAATTTCCACCTGAGCCCACCATCTTGAGAGTGTGATGGAGTGGATGGCCCAGCCCAGCACAGTGCTGTCAGGAAAACTAAGCCATTATTGTTTCAGAGCTGGCATTCAGTGGTCGTGTAGAAGTATAAAACAGGGCAACAAAAACAAATTAGAAGTAGGTAATAGAGAAAATTTAAAGTGAGGCAAACCAGGAGTGAGAAATGTGTAACTCCCAGAAAGGACCACTGATTTGTTTCTAAACTGTGTGTGTTTGCACAGTTGTGTCCGACTCCTTGTGACCCCATGGACTGTAGCCCACCAGGCTCCTCTGTCCATGGGATTCTCCATGTAAGAATACCGAAGTGGGTTGCCATTTCATTCTCTAGGAGATCTTCCTGACCCAAGGATTGAACCTGCATCTTTTGCATCTCCTGCATTGGCAGATGCATTCTTTACCACTGTGCCTCCTGGGAAGCCTCCGTACTAAACTTGATCCTAGACTAAAGGCCTAAAGACAGTCTTGTCAAACTGGGGCTTGTCCTGCAAGGAGCATAGGCCACACACCAAGAGCTGGGGAAGCTGCGGGATGATGTGTTGCCCCTTCCAAGAATACCAGGATACTAACAGTTATGCGCTGCGCTTGCTCCGCCCAGTGCAATTCCAGATATGTTACATAGATTATGTCTTTTCATCCTAACAATGGTGCTGTGATGTAGATTCAGCTATCATCCCAACATTATCACTGTGCATAGACTAAGGCACAATGAAGTTAAGGTTTTCCTTAAGGCTTTAAAAATAGAACTAATGAAGACCAGAGCCAGGATTTGGTCCCCTGCTGTGTATCTCCCAATTCATACTTTCAATCTGTATGTACAGCCAGGTATTTACTTTTAACTCGTACATACTCTGCTGCTTTGGCTTTACTGAGAATTTATAGTATATGAAACCTTATTTAGAAATGCATTTTCCATGTAAAGAAAATCAGTTGTTTAGTGGAATACACACTTTGAATGCATTTTGAAGAAATAGTGAAAATGTCGTGACTTTGCATCCCCCTGTCCCACGTCAGATTCCTCCAACCCTCCCCAGACCTCCTGGGGGAAGTTGTTTTTTTCCCCTTGTACCTCTGAGACACATTGACAGAGAATCTTGAAATGCAAAGCTGTCCATTCTCTTTCCACCATTATGGTGAAATTTCATCAGTTTCATCAGTATTTCTGAAGCTCAAGCCAGTTTTCTTTCAGAGGCAAAGAAATTGCACAGAGTTTTCAAGGTGTCTGAAGACCCTGGCTGAAATCTACTGATTTAAGAATCTCACATAAAAAAAAAGAATCTCATGTTTCGGAGGATGGAAAATGCCTTTCAATTGTAAATGGACAATTCAACAGAGCAGATTTCTTTCAATTTGTTTTAAAAAATTCTTAAAAGATTATTACTGAAAGAAACCAGAAAATGACAAAGCATATTACAGAGTGCCCCAAAGGTCACACAGTTATAGGGTCTGCAGGACCTGTCTGAGAAATACTGGGATGCAAGGCTGACACTGTCCCTCTGGATAAAGCAAATCTGATGCTCAGGAAAAATGAAAACGGTGGCCCTTGTCAAGGTTGACGCTGTTAATTCAACCTCTTTCCTGGAGACTCCC